CGTGGAGGAGAGGTCAGTCTCAACAAGCTGACGCCCGCTGAGCGCAGCAAGTTTGAAGTGTCAAACGATACCGAGTGGCAGAACATGGCCAACTCGGGCGCGGTTGAAATCATCGCACCTAGAGAAGCTGGGGTGATTAGGCGAGAGCGACCAGACCGCATCATCACGAGTCGGATGGTTCGAAGGTGGAAACCTGTGGGGGGCACGTTTTCTGAACCAACCGCCAAGTCTCGGTGGTGTGTCCACGGACACAAGGATCCGGACACCGGAACGCTGTTTGTCTACTCTCCCACTCCCCAGACTTCTTCCATGTTAGGTAATGATGAATCTAGGTAACGATGAATCTAGGTAATGATGAATATATGTTCATCTTGGTAATGATGAATCTAGGTCACCTAGGTGACATTGCTGACGTGAAGAACGCCTTCTGCCAATCGGATCTTATGAGCCGTGCTCAGGGAGAGATCTACGTGGAACCATGCGAGGGCATCAAGGTTGAAAAGGAGCCTCTCATCATATTGCTGGTGAATGTCTACGGGCTGGACGACGCCCCCCTGGCCTGGCGTAAGACGATCGTAGGCTACCTCAAGACGAAGGGGTTCACGCGTAGTCTCCTAGAGCCCTGTTGGCGGGTCAGGTACGCCCCAGACGGAACCATTCTCAACATGGTCCATCTTGAAGTCGACGACCTCTTTATCGCCAGCAATTCAGAGACATCCAGGGCCTGGATCCGGGAGACCCTGGTCTCCAGGTTTAAGTTTGGGAAGTACCGGGACTGTCGCCGCGGCCCCGTCGAGCATGCCGGCCGCAGCGTGACTTTCGGCCCTCGGAAGACGACGATCGACCAGGAAAAATATATGCTGGAAGAGGTAAGGACGATTAGCCTCGAACGCGGTCGGCTGGGTCAAAAGTCCTCTCCCCTTGCCCAACCAGAGTTCAAAGCCCTCCGGTCCTTGATATATGAGTTGAACTGGGTCGGTCGTGGATCTCGTCCGGAAGCCGCCGGCGCCGCGAGCGTCCTTGCCAGTAGGTTGAAGGGCGCTACCACGGGAGACGTGGCCATTGCGAATAGGATGGTGAGGCATGTCCGTGCCACGGCCTCGAGAGGCCTTATCATTTGGCGCCTGGGCCCGGAACGAATGGCGCTGGTTTCTTTCTCGGATGCGGGGGGCGCAGGAGCCGACGAAGGATTTCTGGGCCACCAGGGGCTCCCCGCCGATCCGACGCAGGGGGCGTGGACGGTTTTGGCGACCGACAAGAGCGTGATAGATCACTGTGCTGTTCGCGCTTCTACCCTGGGATGGCGAAGTTCCAAGCTCAGAAGAAAAGTCGCGTCCACTCTGGCCGGCGAGACTCAGTCCATCTCGGCGGCAGTGGCGGAAGTTGAGTTTCTCCAGGTTTTGTATAGAGACGTGGTTTTCGGAGATGTGGATGTGTCAGACATGTCCAGGTGCTCAGGTCCTTTCACGACGGTCCCCCGTAGGGGCTGCCGACTAGGGGGGCGGGAGGACCATGTTCATGTAGTGGATGCGAAGAGTATCTACGATACGATGCTGAAGGAAGGGGATGCCAGCGCTCGTGACCGTCGCACGGCACTCGACCTAGCTGCCGTGTGTCAGGCCCTGGATGGGGGCTCGAGGTTTTGTTCGATGGATCCCGCATGGCCGCATGCCCGTGGACTGTCTCACGAAGGGCGACATCAACAAGGGCAATGCGACCATATCCAGTTTGCTTGCTACGGGCAAGCTAGTTTTGATAGACGAGGCTAGCGAGATATCCCGCCGGAAGGACCAGCCAGGGGGCAAGGGCCGATCCCAGGCGGCATCACGGAGGATGTTGGATCAAGACTCCAGGCTGATATCGTGGGCAGATTTCCAGTCCAGCCCAGCGGTGTCGGAGTCAAGAGACCGGGGCTCTCTCTCCTCTCTCCTCCCTCACTGTCCTCTCCCTGGTCACTGATTTGCATGTGCAGCTGCTGTATCCTGTTTGGGGGTGCTAAGCCTAGGAGAAAGTTTCATCCATGTGGAGACTCTCCTGTTTTATCGATATAGGTTTAGCATAATGTTCTTTCCCGTGGTTCCCAACATTCCAGCTCACGGGAGGCTAGGATTGTTCGCGAATGCTTCAGGGAAAGATGTACTGTGGTTGCCGTTTTCTGGCTCAAGGCCAAAATGCATCCGTTCATCCTGCTGCTGCCACGCTGTGACGACGACGGCGGCAACGTCGACGGCGGCGACGACGAACGTCGCGGCGACGGCGGCGACGGGGCCCAGGCCCACGGGCGAACTTACGCCCCGCCCTCGTTCGTGGAATCCTGCGCCATATTTTCTGGAAGGAGCGAAGTTTCTGTGCGCAGCTTTGCCACAGCCGACTCTCCGCTTTACTGAAGATCGGTGTTTTGCTTTAGTAAAACGTCGCTTTTGGGAATGTATTGAGCGGCGCGCCCTTGCCACATCTGCTTCCTCACTTTAGTAGAATTGCTTCCTCGCTTTGGTAAAGTCGCTTCCTCGCTTTAGTAGAGCCGTTTCCTCGCTTTAGGTTCGCGGCGATCCTTGGACATGTTGCAGCGAGTTGTAGATGCTCTGCGAGGGGAGATGCGGGGCGCGAGCGCAGGACATGGCTCGGCAATTCGGACGCGCCGCCGCGGTTGCCCCGCAACAAACCAACACCACTTTACTACAAGGCTCGCGTGTCTTTAGCACAGAGCTCATTCGAAGTAATAGTATGAGTTTCCGCTTCCAAGATGAGGCGACCACTTTCCTGCGCGCGGGCCCCGTCGTCGACCCCCTCGGGGCGACCGCGGATTCCACGACGGTTTTTTTCCCAACCTGTTTTCAGAGGCCACCCGTTGGCGGGTCAATTGCGCGGCGCTCATTACACGGGGGGGGGCGTGCGGAGTACGAAAATTTAAAATCATGGTGAGGCCCAGGATACAAGTGCAACAGTTTGTTTTTGGTGAACCAGTTTTCTGGTCACCTGCCAGCGCCCTGCCGCCTCGCCGACGGGGGGTCCTGGACCTTCCCCAGCCCGGCGGCAGACGCCCAGGCGGAGGGCGCGGGCGCCCGGGCGGACAGGCCATGCGGATGGGGATTGGCCCATCGGGTTTTGGCGCGCCTGGGGCCTCCCAGCGACTGGCATCCCCAGGCGGCGGGCCAACTTGCGGAAAGCGGCGAAGCACTCCGCGCATTCCGCGCGTCGCGATGTATCGGCGACGACGGAAACGCACTGCAGTACATGAAATGTCGCCGCAACCGCATCCCGACCAGGCGCTGGCGGGGACTTTTGTAGCCGTCTGGAACAGGAAAACCTTTTGCACCAAGGTCTTGTGATCCCTTCCAGGTCCTTCCGGGTGGCCGGCGGGCTGGGCCAGAGCCCCAGGGGAGAGATTGTGGAAAAAGGAACCAAAACCAAAGCCGAAAGGATCCAGCCCGCCAGGCACCCCTGTGATGAATCAGCAGGGGGCGGCGGATCCTGGTGGCCTTCGGCCCATCCCGCCTCCGTGCCTGGGTTGTGGGCCTGAGGCCTCTTGTATACGCGTGTTGGGGTGTCGTGGGGAGCCTTTCGGGGGCCTCTTGGAGGCGGTTTGGGCGCCTCTTGGGGCCTCGTGGGGTATCTTTTGGGCCTCTTGGAGGCCTCTTGGGCGCGTCTTGGGCGCCTCTTGGAGCTTCTTGGGGCCTCTTGGCGGCCTCTTGGAGCCTCCTGGGGGCTTCTCGGGGCACAAATATAGAATGTTCGGTTCGTGGTCCCCGTCTTGGGGCCGTCTTGGGGCCCTCTTGGGCCGTCTTTGGGCCCTCTTGGAGGCGTCTTGGGCTGTCTTGCGGCGGTCTTGTGAGTTTTTTGAGCCGTCTTGGGGCGTCGGAAAGCCGAAAATGCGAGAAGGCCCAGATCTTTCAAACACCGTAGTCAACTACGATTTTAGCCTCTTGGAGCTCTCTCGGGAGGCCTGTTGGAGCGCTCTTGAGGCCTCTTTGTGCCTTCTTGGGCCGTCTTGGAACAATCTTCGGGCGCCTTAGAGCACGCATGGCCTCGGCAATGCGAGTCTGGCGTAGTTTGCTAGGGTAATTTACAAGGGTTTGTTGCCTCGGGGATGCAACAATTGTATGGTTTACGAAGGTTTGTGATTCCGTGGACCCGAACATTGAGTAATTGAAAATGGGTGATGGCCTCGGTGATGCGAATCTCGTGTAATGTACGAGGGTTCGTGGTCTCGGGGACGCGAATATTGTATACTTGAATAAAGATTCTGGTTTCGGGGACAAACTATCAGAATTTACTCATAGGATGCTTTCGGGGGCGCGAATGTGGCGTAGTTTATGTGGGATCGTGGCCTCGGAGGCGCGAATCTCACGAATTTGACTGGACCCAGGGCACCCCCAGAAATTCTGAAAACTTTCTTGGGGGGTGATAGCCCGGGTCCTTTTCGGCTCCTCCCCCTCGCGCGGGCAGTAACAATATACAGTCGGAATCAGAAAGCAAGATTGTAACAGTGGAAATTGGAAACTTGAACATAACGTATGATTATCACAATGGGCACTGGAAACTGGAACTCAAGCAGGCAGCAGCAAGCCGAACCCTCGCAGCCTGCTGGTCCCGCAAGAGGGCCGGCGGATTATGAGCGTGTTGTTCAGGCTCTCCCATGTTCAGGGTATAGCACTCGTATCCTCGCTCACCCCCCTCGGAAATCTGGAAACGACCCACGGCGGCGCCTTCCAGCTCCGCCGCCGCGTAGCCGGCGAGCCTGGCAGCTGAAGGAAACGCTGGAGAACGTTGCGAGAGACAGGAGGAGAAGGAGAAGGAGGAGGAGGGAGAGGAGGAGGAGGAGGAGGAGGAGGAGGAGGAGGACGAGGACTTCAATCGATTTGGACGAGGAGTTCAATCGATTCCCTGCCCTCCTCCTCCTGCTCCTCCTCCTTCTCCCTCCTCCTCCTCCTCCTCCTCCTCCTCAGCTTGCTCCTCGGGAGGCTGGTTGAAGTCTAGCACTCATACCCTTGCCGCCCCAGGCCCCGCGGCATCCACAGCCGGCGGCGCGGCGGGCGCCCTCAGCGCCCGCGCGCGCGCGACGCGCGACGCGCGCGCGACGCGCGACGCGCCAATCGTCCTCACACGGGGCTTCGTCGGTGCTGCCCCTCCTCTTGGTCTTTCCTGCGGGAGGCGGGAGGCGGGCGCAGGCCGCCCGAGGAGGAGGCGTGCCCAGAGCAGGAGGAGGCGGAGGAGCGATGAGGAGGGGGAGGATGGGCCAGCGGACCAGCGGGCGAGGGAAGTTGAGCCAGCCCGAAGAGGAGGAGGACAAGTGTAAACCCAAGAGTCATCAACGATGATAGAATTAACCCTCCCTCCAAGCTTCCTCTTCACAGGCCCCTACAACGGTTCATTTCCATTGCGGGAACTGCCTCATTGGAAGACAACCGTTTGAAGACCCTGAAGCATGCCAAAACATTGTTCTCGGGATTCCAACGCCCCGGATGAACCTGACTGTGGCGTCTTGACGGTCATGAATCGCGCCAGAACGCCATTCTTGGGACAACGTAACTGTTGCACCCGCATGGTCTTGAATTCTTCACGCAATGTCTGGTACGCTGATCATGGGAATCCGTGAAACTCTTGCAATGTTTCAAAGCGAATGTGCGCGGCGCTAAGGCGAGAGCCACAGTTTGAAAAGGAACCGGCCTCAATTCGCGAAATGCTTGCAACTGTTTCAAAATTATGTGCGCGGAGCTCAGGCGAGTGCCAAATTGTGAAAGCGACTCGCCCTCAATCCGAGAATGCAAATGTTTCAAACGAATGTGCGCGGCGCTAAGGCGAGAGCCACATGTTGAAAACGACCCGCCCTCCATCTGTGAAACTGTTGCCAGTTCTTAAGCTTCAGAGTCATACATGGTGGGGAACTCTCAGGCGAAACGCATGGCCCGCCCTAAAAACTGGCCTCGGAGTGCGACAGGGAGAACTGGTGCACCAGGAAAAGGAATGGAGGAGGAGGAGAAGGAGGAGGAGGAGGAGCGAGAAAGAGGCAGGACAGACCGGCCCCGGTCTGCAGGGAAGGAAGATATACCCTCCAAAAGGGGTACGACCGAAGACGAAGACGGCGGGTTTCGAGAGTTTGGGAAATACACGTTGAAAGGCAATGGAGCAGATAAGAGCGAACAGACTTTACATGATCGTTGTTGTTGTTGGTGATGTTGTTGGTGTTGGTGTTGGTGTTGTTGTTGTCGTCGTCGTCGTCGTCGTCGTTGTCGTTGTCGTTGTCGTTGTCGTTGTCGTTGTCGTTGTCGTTGTCGTTGTCGTTGTTGTTGTTGTTGTTGAACATTATTACTTCTAAAGAGTAATTATTGTTGGGGCCCCTGGTGCGCGGCCCCCTCGCCGCGCCTAGGCCGCAGCCACATTTTCATCATTTTCGTGAGGAAGTCTCAGGCAAAACGGGTTGGTCCGGATCCGGTTGTTTTGTTACGGCCCGCTTTCCCTTGCAAAAAAAAACTAAAGTGGACATTTCTTGTTCTAACATAACCAAACTTCAAGAATCCCTTGCAAAAAATAAGGTGAAGTGGACATTCGCGCGCGCAAGACGAAATCCTTCCAAAACCTTAGTTTTCGTAGCGATTTTAACATAAAAACATATAAAATATATATATATATATATATATATATATATATATAAAAAAAAAACATGGTTTTTTTTCAAAAAAAATGTCAAAATTTCATCCCGCGCGCTCTTGCGGATTCGTAGGAAACCCAACACTTTTTAAACATTTCTGTCAAACGGGCTTTTGCGAGCAACTTTTTCGAACTTCTGCAACAACGGTTGCGCACCTGCCAGGGCCATCATCCCTGTCAAATAATACCATGCGGGACACATTCGTTTTTTCTTCGCGCGCGCACGCCGTCGTCGTCGGCCGCGGGGCCCTGAATAGTAGCCACGGTCGTCCGCATGCCACGAAGTGAAGTGTCCGAACGTCATAGGGCGGGAAGCTGGGTGTGGGTGGTGGCGAAGAGTCGTTTGGAAATTTGGTAGAGCTTGAACCGGCCCCCCCACAAAGTGGGGGTATTGCCCGCCTCCTATGAAAACCCTGGCACTGGTGAGAACGGAGTGTCCCCACGTGCTAGTAATTGTTGTTGTTGAACATTATTACTTCTAAAGAATAATTATTGTTGGGGCCCCTGGTGCACGACCCCCCCGCCGCGCCTAGGCCGCAGCCTCATTTTCATCATTTTCGCGAGGAAGTCTCAGGCAAAACGGGTTGGTCCGGATCCGGTTGTGTTGTTACGATCGGTTTTCCCTTGCAAAAAATAAGCTAAAGTTGACATTTCTTGTTCTAACATAACCAAACTTCAAGAATCCCTTGCAAAACATAAGGTAAAGTGGACATTCGCGCGCGCAAGACGAAATCCTTCCAAAACCTTAGTTTTCGTAGCGATTTTAACATAAAAACATCAAAAAACCAATGGTTTTTCAAAAAAAAATGTCAAAATTTCATCCCGCGCGCTCTTGCGGATTCGTAGGAAACCCAACACTTTTTAAACATTTCTGTCAAACGGGCTTTTGCGAGCAACTTTTTCGAACTTTTGCAACAACGGTTGCGCACCTGCCAGGGCCATCATCCCTGTCAAATAATACCATGCGGGACACATTCGTTTTTTCTTCGCGCGCGCACGCCGTCGTCGTCGGCCGCGGGGCCCTGAATAGTAGCCACGGTCGTCCGCATGCCACGAAGTGAAGTGTCCGAACGTCATAGGGCGGGAAGCTGGGTGTGGGTGGTGGCGAAGAGTCGTTTGGAAATTTGGTAGAGCTTGAACCGGCCCCCCCACAAAGTGGGGGTATTGCCCGCCTCCTATGAAAACCCTGGCACTGGTGAGAACGGAGTGTCCCCACGTGTTGTTGTTGTTGTTGAACATTATTTATTCTAAAGAATAATTATTGTTGGGCCCCCTGGTGCGCGCCCCCCCTGCGCCGCCTAGGCCGCAGCTACATTTTCATCATTTTCGTGAGGAAGCCTCAGAAAAGAGGGTGTGTACAGGATCCGGTTGTTTTGTTGTAATCCGCTTTCCCTTGCAAAAAACAATAGAAAATGACATTTCTTGTTCTAATATAATCAAATTTCAAGAATCCCTTGCAAAAAATAAGGTAAAGTGGACATTCGCGCGCGCAAGACGAAATCCTTCCAAAACCTTAGTGTTCGCAGCGATTTTAACATAAAAACATCAAAAAACCAATGGTTTTTCAACAAAAAATGTCAAAATCTCATCCCGCGCGCTCTTGCGGATTCGTAGGAAACCCAACACTTTTTAAACATTTCTGTCAAACGGGCTTTTGCGAGCAACTTTTTCGAACTTCTGCGACAACGGTTGCGCACCTGCCAGGGCCATCATCCCTGTCAAATAATACCATGCGGGACACATTCGTTTTTTCTTCGCGCGCGCACGCCGAAATCTCCAAAAACCATTGGGCTTCTTAAGAATTTTAGCACCGCGCATCATAAAATCACACGAATCGCACCGTAGGTCCTCGAAAAACACCTGCACGACTTTTCAAAATTTCTACCCGCGCGCGCTGTCCGAATCCTAAAAAAACCAATGGTTTTCCAACATTTATGTTACATGAGCTCGCGCGAGCTACTTTCGCACGCTCTTGCAACGGGGTTCGCGCGCCTGCCAGGGGCCACAATCCCTTGCGGTTGCGCCATAGGTTGCGCCCTCGGCCGCCGAGAATAAAACGTCCCCCTATTGGTTGCGCCATAGGTTGCGCCCTCGGCCGCCGCAAGCGCCGTTCCCGCCCCTCCTTCCGTTCTCTCTTCTCTCCTTTCCTCCTTGTCCTGCTCCTCCTCCTCCTCCTCCTCCGGCGGGGGGCGTGAGGATCCGGCATCGCTCACAACCATCGGGACAACCATCGGGACAACCATCGGAACAACCATCGGGACAACCATCGGGACAATCATCGGGACAGTCATCGGGACAACGATCGGGACAAGCACAACCATCAGGACAACCATCGGGACAATCATCGGGACAACGATCGGGACAACCACAACCATCAGGACAACCATCGGGACAACCATCGAGACAACCATCGGGACAACCATATCCTCTCTCTCTTGTGTATTCCCACATCCCTCAGGAATTTGCCCTAAAGATGTGATCAACTATCTTGTGAGTACGTATCATGTGTATCATGTGTATCATGTACCATATGCATCATATGCAACAGATGTTCTGTGGAAGGCTTAACAACTTCTGTGGGTTAGCAAGGCTTAACAACTTCTGTGGGTGTACGAACGTAGGCTTAACAACTTCTGTGGGTGTGTACTCCACGCCAGTGTAGTAGCCACGGTCGTCCGCAGGCCACGAAGTGAAGTGTCCGAACGTCATAGGGCGGGAAGCTGGGTGTGGGTGGTGGCGAAGAGTCGTGTGGATATTTGGTAGAGCTTGCACTGCCCCCCCACAAAGTGGGGGTATTGGCTGGCGTCGCATGAAAACCCTGGCACTGGTGAGAACACTGAGCGTTCGGGTAAAGTGATTGTTGTTGTTGTTGTTGTTGGTATGTGGGTGTGTTTTTGTCGGCTCTGGTTGCATCCCGCCCCCGCGCATGGTATTTTGCCTGAACTCTCTTTCGCGCATCCTTATTGTGAAGGAGCGCCAGTGGAGGCCCATCTCATTGAAACGGGAAGGGGGGGGGGGTGCTCGCGCAACCACCCCCACTCCCTTCAAGGGGGCGGGAATTTCGAAATCCCCCTCCCCTTGAAAAGGGATTTTCGGACCCACCTCTCCTCCTTAAAAAGAAGGGGGTGTGGGGAGTTCGGACTCCCTCCCGTTGCGCCGGAGAGGGTTCGGGGGGGGGAAACCTGTGTGTGTTAGGCCAGAGGGTCGTGAGCGGCACAGATTACCATCGTGGATGGTTTACACTGGGGGCGTGCAGAAATACATATTATTTGCATCATGTCGTGACGGTTGAGGCTCGAGAAAGCGATGTTGAGATCAGCAGATGTGCATCGCACAGTGTTTGCTGCAAAGGATCGCGAAAAGGATCGTGAACGGCAAATA